AGGTCTTCTCTACCAGCGTAGATTGGAGTTGGTGGGGCTGGATTCACATTGAGCAAGGAGCTCTTGAGTGAGCCCGGTCTTGGGTATCATTTTGTTTCTGGCCACAGCCATGCATTGCACAAGACAACAGCAATGTGAGGGCTGAGCATGAATATGCGATGCAGGGTAGGGCAGCTACTTGCAGAACCTTCCAACAAACCAAATGCATTGTGCATAAGTATAAATTCTTCTCCCCCGAACACCTGCAATCTTTGTGTGGGCTCACCATTTTGAGGTTTGGTAATTCCTGCAATGTCATGACATTCTTTAAGACTGAAATGTATAGACAAGAGGAACTGAGTAGTGAGCATATATATATAAGTACCTGCAGTGCACTTTTCAGCCAGACAGCCAGTACTTGTTCCTGGAAGCAAAGGATTTACGCTTGTCCATCCATGTATAGAAATCCCTAAGCAGTAAAATTTGAATTTTCAGAATTTGCCAGTCAGCATCTGTGTCACTGTGAACCCATCTCTTATCTACAACTGAGGATCCGCACTGCTGATTTTTGTGATGAGGCTAAAACACGACCCCTTGGATTCCTTCAGCACCACACCATCATAGAACTTCCAAGAGACACAAGCCTGACTATGCTGGTTTGTTGGATAAGCACGGACTCAGACTCACCCAATGATAAGATGTGATAGATCAATCGATCAGTGCTCAGTGCCTGTTGCCCACAGGGGGTTTCACATTTGGACATACATCCATTCATTGGGCATGGAGATGGTAATGGTTGTTCGAACAGCAACATTCGGCTTAAGTGCAAGGTGAGTCAGACTTTAAATAAACATCAAATATTTGCAGACAAACATTTTCAAATTCTTGCCCCCAGTCCATTTGCAATCGACAATGATATCATGGTGAACTGGCAGTGAACAGTGTGAAGTTACTGCAAGAGAAAGCTGCAAAAGGGAACATCTTCACACGACAAAGATTCTTGCCCAAGGGCAAAACGCTCAGACCAACACAAATTTGTGAAGGTGAGCAAGCATAGAGATGTCATGCATTAACAAGAAAAGACAGTGAGGACAGAATGTACTATCAGAAGATAACAACATTGGGGAGTGGCCAATGCACACACTGGAGGCACAAGAAGCATTGGTCAAGTTGTCAAGGTTGCATCACGCAAATCCCCATGATGGTACAGGAATTGAATTGCCACTTCAATAGTGCCGTTATAGCGATGGCCACTCGTCTTGCTGTCTATATGGTATCAAGATGCTTGGGAATTGGGGTCAGGCTCGTCGGAGGAAGGAGGATTATGTCACAACAGGGCACAGGTGTGCTGACAGGTTGAAGAGCAGAGATCACTGGGGCAGAGGCTCGACGCTAAAGATAGTGATCGGAACAAGCCAGAGGCAATGAGAATATAATCGGATGAGGCAGTCGGAGATTTGGCGCGCACGCACTGTTTCGATGAACGAGCATTTGCGGCTAGCGCCCTAAGTAGTACTTTGTTATGTACAGGTGGCTATGTTTGGCAACGCACATAGCATTGATGGCATACCCTTCAACCAACAACCTCAGACTCAGATCAGTCCCACCGTATCGCCATTCTATTCAGAATCGTTAATCAGCGCTCCCTTGAATATTCTCCTTAACTCATCTTCACTATAATCGACATTATGTCTATGGCACTCACAAATCCTGCATCCTTGGACCTTATGTTCCCTCAAGAGCTCATTTCACCCGAAGTTTCAGCACAGCTTCCTTCTGATCTCCAGGTAATTGATCATGGGCTCGCTCACATTGCCCTCACACTAAAAAAGACATAGATGCGTCCACTTGCATCAACAGACTACAAACGCGGGCATCTCGATGTCCTTTCCGTTCTATCCATCGTCAACGACCTCGGCGAGGTAGCATGGGTCAATCAGTTCCACGCCATGCGCGCAACCCCAAGCGCGTACTTCTCCATCGTCATCCTCGACAAGGCGAGCGACAAGATCGTCGGAGTAGGCACCGTCTTCATCGAGCGCAAGTTTCTCCGTGGTCTCGGCAGCGTCGGTCACATTGAGGATATCGCCGTCGACAAAAGCCAGCAGGGCAAGAAGCTTGGCCTCCGTATCATCCAGGCCCTGACGCATATCAGTGAGAGCAGCGGCTGTTATAAGACCATCTTGAACTGTAGTGACGCCAACATTCGTGAGTTGCTTCTCATCTGACTTTGACTTATGCTGACCAATGTCCCACAGCCTTCTACCAAAAGTGTGGCTATGTCAAGAAGGAGAACGAGATGGTAATTTTTCAAGCACTTCTTGTAGCCTTTGCTAACGGAATGCGCAGGCAAAGTACGCGCCAGAACGTGTTAATCACGCACCAAGACTTTGACTTGCCATCATATCCTGCACTCGTATATACCATCGTCATCAATTGCCTGTACTCTAGATTTGACTGTGGACATTTTGCACACATACCTTGCACATACTATTTCACTAGCAGACACTCGTGACACATGCCACTCATGCGAAAACTTCTCAAAGTCAAATTGATATTTTTTCGGGTATGTAGCGGCGCATATGTGTCAAGTAGTATAGTACTATAGAAGAAAAATGTGGTAGTAAATCATTCATCGAGGCGGGAACGTTTGTTCGAGAGGACCCACGAAAAGTCGAGGTTCATCGATATCTTCAGCCTGGCTGGCGTTGAAGTATTGGAAACCACTATAGATTCATATTGTCCATCAAGGTGGATCTAATCGTATCGGATATTGACCATCCACCACCTACTCTTGCCTCGAGTCGATCACTTTCCCCATCCCCTCAGATCCTTTCCAACAACCCAAAGTTCTCAAAATATTTGGCGAACTTTGTCTTCCCATGTCGCGGAAATTGACGTTCGTGGCAGATCCAGAAGATTCGGGAGTTTCTTGTATTGTGGCAGCGCTGGAAGTTGCATCTTGCGACGTAAAGGTGGCGGATTTTCAGACGACCATGCCGTTGAGCGAGGTTGATTGGATGTCATCAAGCCGTTGTATTTGATTGCAAGGTTACTGTTTATGGGGATATGCTCCGTCGTCCTGTCAGGCAGGAGCACTGTGTCCTTCGTTGGTGACACGATATGTCAGCGTACAAAATCTGTCCGTCTCGAAAGTTGCTGATATCAGAAGTTCCCAGACCGGCCATTACATAGAACAGCGTAGAGCCGTGGAGGACCTTCACCAAACTACACCAAGCGGATAAAGGGTTCTCTTGTTATGAGACGAGCGAGAGGAGCGAGGAGTCTATACAACAAGTACAATCTCAGTATCTTGAAAGAACTGAGATGTTAGGGCGTTTCTACTGACGCTTTTAAAGTGAGTACTGTTATGACTCAGATATAAGAATGAAACATAGAAAATAATGTAGGGCGCGAGCCGACGTCAATACGTCGCTCGCCTCTGTCCATTTCGGCTTGTGCTCGTACCTCTCACTCACTTCCCTTCTCTATCTCGGATCCTTCGGTCTTGGTCCTCTCGGATCTCTCGGAGTCCAATAGGTTCGAGGTGAGCAAGCAAGGGAGGAGAGCTGAGACGAGAGTGGGAAGCGGGAAAAATACCGCGAGAGATGGCATCTGCCAGGTTGTCGCAAGACCTCACCCATCAAACAGAGATCCGGATGCCGTGTTTGAGAGCAAATGAGAGACGTTGCAGAATGTCATTCTGGACAACGTTGCAAAAAGCGACTGGCTTTAAGAGCCGTAATACAACCCTGGTTGTCAGAACGGAACCGCACACGCACGTCACGAAGACCCGAGCAGACAAGGGCGCGAGGACCAAGGTCGATCGCTACCGTTTCTCTACCCGATGTCCGGTCCGGTCCATCTACCGTCCAACCGTCCAACAATTCCCAAGTGAGCTAGCGGGGACCAGCGAGGAAACCGATGCCAAATGAAGAAAAAGCACCGACAAAAACAGATAATGGGGGAGGGTCAGGAATTACTAGACGAAGCGGGGCACTTTTGGAGGGGTGAGGGGAGGAAGTGAATAACTCGTCGAACACCATCATCTATGTCTGACAGTGCTGCAGCTCTGAAGAAAAGGTCATGATCTCGAGTTGACAGATGAGTTCCTAGAGGCTTACGTCGTGTCTGTGTGCCTGGGGTATCATCCAACTTGGAGAACATGGTTTCAAAGGCCTCTTCTGCTTCATTACAGCGTACAGCGCCGTGAAGCGCTGCATTCCTTAATTAATACCCTAGACAAGGAGAAGGATTGAGTTTAATGACCTATGCAATTAGTAGGATAAGTATGACTGCTAGAGAAATAATAACAATCATCCTCACCCTGTTCACGACGTGAAGAGCCGCTGCGAAGAGGTTGCGTTCTAAATTTGCCTTACTGTGGTGCACGAAGAGTCCACTTAGATCCCTGCTGAATACCCGTTTCATAATTTTGCGCAGCAATGACCTGCTCGGAGAGTTGAACTTGAGTGTCATGTAGATTCCTCAAGTCTGCGCTGTAATAAAGGAAAGCTAACACACTAAAAATGCGAGAAAGAGATAAGTTAACATGTTGAAAGAGGTGACGAGGAGAAGATCGAACCAAGAAAGCTGAAGGTAGTGATAGAAAAGTGAGGGAAGGGAAGCCTGCGAGTAGCGGAGATATGGCTACAACATTAAGCTGAAGCGAAAGTATTGATCAAACGTTGAGCAGAGTCTGGGTCTTTTCATTAATGTGAATGACGTGAGGGTACCGGAACCTTCAATGTTGGGTCAAGGCTGTCCGCGAAGGAACCGAGAATAATCCGACTGAGGTACCATGTGGCAAGAACGTTAACACCTCCTCGAATTGGGTGAAGCACTTAGCTATATTTGACAACGTACATATAAGAGTTGTATAAGAGCATTGATGGCATACGTGCAATGCCCCCTCCGAGTCAACAACAACCTGCTCATTGGCCCCACTGTGTCTTCAGAGTCAGTACTCGCTTGAATATTCTTCTTAACTCACCATCGCTACTATGTCAATGATTGACACCATGTCCACGACACGCGCAGATCCTGCGTCCCTAGACCTTATGTTCCCTCAAGAGCTCATTTCACTTGATGTTTCAGCACAGCTTCCCTCTGATCTCCAGGTAAGTTGATCATAAGCTCTTTCATATCGCTCTCGCATTAACAAGATATAGATGCGTCCGCTTGCGTCAACAGACTACAAACGCGGACATCTCGATGTCCTTTCCGTTCTATCTGGCGTCAACGACCTCGGCGAGGTAGCGTGGATCGACCAGTTCCACGCCATGCGCGCAACCCCAAGCGCACGCTTTCCCATTGTCGTGCTCGACAAGGCGAGCGACAAGATCGTCGGAGTAGGCACTGTCTTCATCTATCGCAAGTTCCTCCGCAGTCTTGCCAGCATCGGTTATATCGAGGATACCGCTGTCGCCAAAAGCCACCAGGGCAAGAAGCTTGGCCTCCGCATCATTCAGGCCCTCACATATAAGTGAGAGCAGCGGCTGTTATGTAACCTCCTCGAGCTGTTTTAGCGCCAACATTCGTGAGTTGCTTCCCTCATGGACTGTCGCTTATGCTAATTAATGTCATATAGCCTTCTACCAAAAGTGTGGCTGTGCCAAGCTGGCGACCGAGATGGTAATTTTTCAAGTACCTCTCATAGCATTTCCTAACGGAGTGCGCAGGTAAAGTATGCGCCAGAACATGTTAATCACGCACCGAAATTTTGACTGGCCATCTTATCCCACACTTGTATATGCCATCATCAATCCCCTGTACTCTGGATTTTACTGCCACACATACCTTGCACATACTTGTATCATCAGTCTTATTCCCAACAAATTTTATATGATTAGCAGCTCTACTTCGAGAGCCAAGTGAGCATCGAAATGCACGAGGTCTACGGACATCTTCAGAACCAGCAGAAGCGGACGTGCCATATGGAAGCATGCAGCATAGATTTTTGCCCGTGAGAAGTCGTGTCGAAAGGAATGTGCGATACATAGGCATGTGCCAACAACAAAAGAACTGCTTATCGGCCACCCTTGCCACCCTTCATCTGCTGCTTCGATACCCTGGGTCCACTCGCAACAGGCGCACGTGCAGGCTACACCGGCCGACGTAAGTCGTACGTACCCCTTGGATTGTCGACAACATACCTTGGCCTTTTTCGACTCCTTCTCTTTCTTCTCAGTCTTGGCCTTTGCAATGGCCGAAATTCTCTGCTGGTTACGGACAGCAGCGGTCTGGTTACGCCTGGCGGCGATAGTGGCAAGGTCAGCACCAACGATGCCACGTTGGTGCTTCACGGTCCGGCGGGAACGCTTCTTAGCAACTTCCTCGGTGATACCCTTCTTGTGCATGCGACGGTAGACCTGTGTCCATGCGATCTTACGTGGGTTCTTGCGCTGGAGGAACAGGGAAGAGTTCTTGGAACTAGAGAATCGGAAAACCTATATCACAAGGGGCGTTCAGGCAGGAAGTTTGAAAGTGGGGGAGACGAGCTGACTTTGGAGTCTCCACGGACAAAGAGTTTTCCCTTGGAGGGGTACACACGGAAACCGGAGAACGCGTCGATTTCGACCTTCTACTCAAACATATCGAGCGATTTAGATTTCAGCAATGAATGTATATGAAGTAGAAACGCACCATCTATAAAACCGGCGCGCACGACGGGAATAAGTCAGTCTGCGTCCTTCCCAAAGCTCATATGAATATGCGACAAGCCAGAAACGTCATCCGTCATCAGTCTGATTCATCCACCACTCCTACAGCCTATCTTTGGCTGAAATTCGTCTCAACTTCACGCATGAACAGAACGGATGCATCCATGGTGTTTGGCGAAGAAAAATGGCATGGATCCTTGCTTACCTTGACGGAATTGCCGGGGCTTGCTGATTTGGTGGTGCCTTCGAGGGCGGGGTGGACTCAATGGGTAGCGGGGATTCAACTTCGGCTTATGCCGTGACCAAATTTGGTAATTCTGAATCTTATGACATACACACAAGCCTTGTACTTGGCTACGCGGAAACCATGCAGAGTCGCTGAGGTTATGACGAGGACCGCCAGCCCACTCTCCGAAACGGTGTGAATTGTCACGTTTTAGGAGTTGCGATTAATATATGTACCCCAGTATTGAGTTTAAACCTGGATCACAGTGCATAATTCGAACGTCCTTATCGGATCATCGCATTGTTTTGGAGCGGTCCCTAATTTTCATTAATATCCTCTCTAGTTACTACTTACTCTTCTACGTCCCACAGCTGGGAACATGAGGATTGACATATTGAATCAAGCCAATAGTCAGAGCTTTAATAGATTATCCTGTTGCTGTAAATATTGACACAAGCGCAGCAAGTCAGTGCAGTGGTCGCACTGCAATTCCAAGGTACATACCTCGCAAAAAGAGGGGTAAACCTAAAAGGAGAAAGTGTCACAAAGCGGTCACACGTCACTTGTGCGTGCGAATATGCCGCTGCATCCCATCGTCTCAGCAACGTTAACGCCTCCACGCAGTCATCCCAGGTCACCAGTTCACTCCCCAAGTAACTCCGCCCTCCAAATTCTCACTTTCAACGGTGTGTCCTCTTTACTGAGACCATACGTCTACTGCTGATTCCACCACTAAACTTCACCATTTCAGAGCCCTTTTAACGTCGTTTTCCAGTCATGTTCGTTTGTTCTCCCAAATGACGCAGCGGCCGTAGTTCATCTGTATTTTTCCCTATCATAGGTCCGAACCTTACGACCCTTACCTCCCCCGCAATGGCTCCTCATCCAATCCCGCTGGCGGATCAAGTCAGGGTGGAAACCCTAAAACCGCAGCTATCCAACAACAAATTGACGACACCGTCGGTATTATGAGGGAGAACATCACAAAGGTCGCAGAACGTGGAGAGAGATTGGACTCGTTGCAGGATAAGACAGGTGATTGATTTGTGCTCTGGTGTATTGCGAAGGTTGAAGCTATTTCCCCAGACAACCTTGCTGTTTCAGCGCAGGGCTTCCGTCGTGGTGCTAACCGAGTACGAAAGGTGAGTTTGACTTAACTTCCTTATATTGATGTAATACTAAGACATATTCAACAGAATATGTGGTGAGTGTGATATTTTCTTTTTCAGTTGCGATCAAGATTCATCGAACTTATAATTTCTCAGGTGGAAAGACATGAAGGTCCGTTGGACTCGTCGCTCAACATTACATTCATAACTGACCCCGTCTTTAGATGCGCATGATCATTGGTGTTGCTGTCATAATCATCATAATCATTATTATAGTCAGCATTGTGAAGGCAACACATCACTAGGCAGCACGTGGGTTCCCACGTATATTGCTTATCCTTACTACCACTGGCCTGTTGGTTGTTGTATCTATCCACCGTATCGTTAATTCTTCTGCTCGTTCTCTGTTTTACTTTTTGTTGGCCGTCATTCACCTACATTCTTCCATAGGGCCCTAGTGGGTGAATTGTGGACCCCGATACATAGCTTTCGCTTCGTTAAATTGTCACTCGTGTTGTGCTTATGGATGATCTACATACTGACTGCTCTGTGCTAGTGCACAGAGCTTTATGGTCTAAAATTCCTTCGCCCCGTTCTCCAGGGCTCGAATTCCAAAATCAAGTTTCAAGGTCCTTTGTCAGTTGTTCAACATTGATAGTCTAACTTGAAGGATATCCCGGAGTACTTGAAGATATGGTCAGGTACATGAAATCAAAGCAACCCTTTTAAAGTACTACCGGAGGTCTGTGCCGACCCCCGGTACTGAATGACTATTGCTGAGATAGACTATAGTCTTCAGTGTGCTACTATTTGTACGATCGTGTATGTATCACTATTGCATCACTGGTGCCGCTACTGAATTGAAGGACATCACACTGCAACGTTGTTAATGCCCAATACGAGACTTAGTTTGGCATGTGGCAATGTTGGCGATTACTAGTTATTATTAGTTTACTCTGTGTATCTTCCACGAGACCCTTCTCTCGGTCACACGCGCCAGAATTCTGTGAGTATTCCAACATTTATGTAACGTTAAGATATTTTTATAGCTCAATTACCCTCGACTGAGGACACCCAATAAATTTGGCGGTCTTTGCAGTACAAATATGACGGATGCCGCTGAGTTGGCACTCCGCGCGAAGAGCACGGCGAACAGTTGATTTGCCTACCGCATGTGTCTGATCTAGATGTTCCAGAATGAAGTTCCACGATATCGATTATCATAGATACTCCAGAAATCGTCTCGAGCTGTCGATCCTGAGGTCAGAAATTTTGGAAAATGGTCGCACAGCAAAAGAAAAAGTGGAAGTTCGACCGTTGATCTGCGACAAATCCGGCCTCAAGGATTCGCACAGGAATTTTTCTGGCAGTGCTAGAGAACTTAAATTTAAAGCTTATAAGTGCGATCAAGGTCATGATTTCCCAATCCCCCACTTTGTTACTCTTTCCTGTGTAATCCAGAAAGACACTGGATGGATAAAGGTATGTTCCATTTCTCTGCCTGCATCTCACGCTTGATATCGTTATCTGAATAGAGGTACCGTTGAACGGAAAGTACAACTGGCCGACTGATTGAATGTCAACATAGGCCAAGTTACAATGATGTCAGTGGACTACGACACTCGAGTCGGCCTTCGGTGCCTGTGCATCTCTCAAACGTTCGGGGGCAGAGGCCTCAAGGCCTCACGATCGGATCTCGTTGAAGTACGATTTGGCATGGCGGGTTCGGTGACGGCTCTTGAGGCTCCACCCAAAATCGCGTGTAACCCGGTACGGTCGTAGTCATTTAAGTTGCGTTCCGGGAAGGTTGCGTTGCGGAATACTTTGGCCTTCATTTGGTGAGCGCTTAATCTCATGGCATGCCTTATTTCCTGGCACTATCATCCTTCCTTTTTCTGTCAGGTGTATCTCACCGCATCGGCCGGCTATATTCACTGATGACCGTTTACAACCAAGACAAATGGAAACAAAGTGTTTTGTAAGTGGCCAGAAGAATGCAACCTAGCCAACTGCGTGGGAGTCGAGGCCATTGCTAGCGCTAAACTTATATCGTGGCCAGCGTGTCTATTAATGAAAATTTGATAGTGCACTATATTCCGCATCATCGGGGGTGCGTTTCGAGATCCTCTACCAATGAAAGCTCGCTTCAAGCATTACTCGGGGACGCAGAGTCTCCGAGTCACAGATGTTGGTCTGATTTCAGATAGTCCAATGTAATGCCGCTGAAACGAAAGTTCCATTGGCCTGATCTGTTTTATTGACAGTCAGTCCCTGGCCTTTGGCCTCCACGCCATTTTTTCATTCACCGTTTTGTTCAGTTACCCAAAAGACGTTTCAAGATTACTTGCGGGATAGGCCTAGTTAACAACTTTCATATTTTTCCATTCTTGATCTAGCTGATTCTACATGCCACTGTTTCTTGGCCTACGAACCACCTTTTGTTGTCGGCCTTCATGGCTTCATGGTTGGTCCTGCCAGTCGCGCTATAGATGCCACTACATAAGATTCAGGACCGTGGTCCTCTTCCACAGCGGATCGTAGAATGGTTTATAATTTCTGGTGTGTTCGTACCCCTACAATTCTTTTTGGCGTTGATTCCTTTGGCAGGCAGGACGATTCAGAGCTATCCAAAGCATTGCGTGCAGTACAAGGACTTGTCGATAACGTATGTTTCGTCTGTGCTTGTAAAGGGGAGTGCGCTGATATCTGCCTGTAGGCCCCGTCGTCCTCTCAGCCTCAGCAGAATCACCATCCGCCTTCGGCTCCAGTAAATTCGTATGGGGATCCCCCACCCACGGTTACTCAGTATCACTCTATGTATGGCGGAGACTCGACGAGCAACAATCAAGTGCTCGCTCCTGTTCATCTACAAGATGCTTGGTTTTCTCAACGTAATAGTCAATTTCCAAGTGATTTGACGCCGCCATTTCGTGAGAACGATCATCGTGATATTCATAGGTACGAGCTCCTTGATGTTCCTGTTTCAGGGAAATTGACTTCTTCGACAGTGCTGCCGGACAACCTTTGCCCGACGCCTCTTTCAACTATTTCCACTCTCCTGTCTCCAACGACTCGTTTGCAAACAGTCTGGGATTTTCTGGCAGCGTCTCTGAATCATACCTCATTGAGCCTCACCCTCACCCGGTCCATGACAACCAATCAGAATCGCACGCATCTGGCGGCTTGTGCAAGTGGAACGATGGCCATGGTCCATGTGACGTGACTGTGAGTGAAGAAGAGATCGTGGACCACTTGTCGTCATCCCATCTCCCACCGGCTGGACGCGAGCTTATGAAATGTAAATGGGAGGGATGTAAACTCGGAGGATTCATCCGCCGAGATACGATCCTTCGCCACATCCGTCAGATTCACCTTAGAATTAGACCTCGACGTCAGTCATAGGTTACTTCTTCGAGTCGACGTCCGCAGCCGTATTTAGTCATTACTGCTTCGACTGCCGTATAATTTATGTTTCCTGCTTTCCGGTAATGTTTCGTGCTGTGTCGCTTTCAAGAACGCATATGTCGATTTATTAATAACATGCCTTTGCCATACCTTATTTAACTTTCGAGCTGTTCTTCCTTAGATATTTTTCACGTACCTGAGCGTTCAATCAGAAAAAAATTCATTAGGCAAACGCTATTACTAGTATAATCCCTGGCTTTCCGCACTATGTACCCCCTTCTAGAATATTTAAATTGTCACCCGATTGAAGGGTACAATTCGCCAGGCGAGGAGTGGTCCCAACGATTAAATTCAGCCAGACTCAGATAGGTAGAAATAGTGGTTGAAAACATGAAGGCAGTGGATTTTATCGATCCGAATTAGTAAGATTAATAACCAGTCAGCGCTTGAAGCAAGGCCAGTGACTGAACAGATATATATTTAAGTAACTTTGTCATCACACTCTAGTTTGGATGCTGGGGCTCACCTACCCTCATTCATTCCATCCTCCATCATGAGGCGCGCCACTGTCATACTTCTCCCCAATAACCGGAGATTGGCACTTGGTTAACGGGCTAGGGCCCATGGGGGGCGGGCGGGCCCGGCGCCTGGCCAAGATATCTCTGCGCAGACCTTTCAATTTCCCATGGCTGGCTAGATGTTCAAACGTTCATGATCCGGCCCCCAATTTTGCTGACTCTGCGTTAGTGCTCGGTAGTATTTCGTAGTCGGAATGGCCACTCAGAGCTCATTGGCGAACTCAAATATTGGGCTCGTATTTGGAACCGCTACAGGAACAAGCTGTTTAACCAATGAGAGCGCTCATACGTCATTACAATTTTGGGGCTGCCTCGTCCTTGATCGTGTGGAGGCAAGCCTTCGAATCACAGATCTATTCCATGATCTCAGATCTAGACAGCCCAGCCAAAAATGCCATCGCATCACTGCCTCACTGACATGCAACTTTCACTTCTTTCAACTCTGGAACTTCTTCAACAAAACCCGTCGACCTGATTTGTCTTATCATCTCCAAAGTCTCTGGCCTTTGGCCTATATTTTTTGCATCTGATATGAATCTCTAGTAATTGGCGGTCATGCCTTCCCGCCTCCCCTGGCTTCGCCTACGTGCCACCAACCCTTGGCCTGCGGACAATCGTTGGCCGTTGGCCTTTCTAGCACGATCTCATGCCTCTGTGCTTATATTGTTTGAAGGATTCCGAATTATCTGTATGATCAGTGTTCAATGCCATTTTCACAATGCATCGCAGCACGCCCTACAATTACTGGTACGTTTGATGTGCGCCGTTGGATTTCTGATTGTTGCTTATCCCCGTGCAGGGAGCAGGATTCAGAGCTATACACACACGTCAAGGCATCAAATGCGGAGCGTCCGCAAACAACTACCGATTATGTGTGTTTGGTCCGCACAGTGTAAACGATGTGAAGCGCTGACAACTTGTTATTGGGACAGTCAACTTCTCAACCTCACCAACATTTCCTGTTTTCTGTACTGAAAAATTCTCATGGCGATTCTACACTCATTCCCCAGCATCACGTTGCGTGTGACGGACACTCGACAACCGAAGACCAAATAGTGGGTCCTCGTAATGACGTACTTGATGCGGGTATATTGCCGATCCAGACACTGCCCCTTCTCGATCAGGGGATGGCTCAGGGCGACATTCAAAGGTACGAGATGGTATCGACGATCTTGTTCTAAGTGGATTAAACCCCCTTTCTTTAGTGGTACTTCTGGATGGCATCCACGCCGTGTTTCTTCCAGCTATTCTTCCTACGCCCTTTCCCACCATCTGCCTGCCCACAATATGGACCTCTCTGACACAAACCTTGCCGACCCATGGCTTATCTCGCCCATGCAAGGGTTCCAGCATAACCCACGTCATCAATTCCAAGAAGAGGTTTACGCTGATCCTCGATATGTGGCCAACGATGGTGAGACAGAATCGCACATCAGCTGTGTGTTTGCGTGCAGGTGGAATGATGGTTACGGCATATGCGGCAGGAGTATAAATGCAGCTGGGATCGGGGAACATATGTTATCATACCATTTCAAGTCACCTTTACCCGCCGACAGCCGCTTGGAATGTCTGTGGGAGGGTTGTAAACTCCATAAGCCTGTGCGCCGAGACACAATCATCCGCCACATCGTCGAGATACATCTCGGACTCAAGAATCGATGCAAGCTCTGGGTAGCCTCTCATGGTGGGGCCAGTTTCTGTGGATCTCGCAAAAATGCACGCCTGCAGTAATAACGTTTGTGTAGTCTTCGTCTGTAATCTATGCTCTAGTCCACTTTTAGTTGATGTTGCTCGCTGTTGTCTCTGTACAAGCCATATGCTGTGTACATATCTAGCTGTTCGTCACAATCCATTAACATTAGTCATTCGTGCGTTAAGTTATGTTCATTCCATAGTTTCCTATATCATGCATATGTAACTTGTTTGACACAGTACAGGGGAGGTCGTGAATCTGATAAAATTTCATCACTGGCCTGAGGGTAGCCAAGCATGCGACTATGTACTGAGGGTCCTTGATCGTAAGAGAGGACACGATGTGTACCTTTGTCCTGTCGCCACATGAGAGATGGTAGGGAGATACGAGCGAATACGCGCTTTGCCCGCCTGCATGGACAGCATAGTAGGAGCCTTGCTAATTGGCAAAAAAGACACTGCATATTACATTTGCTTAACAATAATGATCAAATTCGAGATATAACATACCACCTAGTTTTGCGAAGTTCATACTGTGTACAACGCGGAAAGAGACAACACAAGTCCGAGGGGGATCAAAGATCGAAGATCGATGGAAGCAAAATGAAATTATGGAAAATCTATAGAAATCTAGATGGATTCTCATTTGGAGGATCGACAAGAAGTTCGAAACCTGGTTTTGAAAATTACCAATTGAGTTGTGTATCATGATTCATGATGATAGCTGTAAGAGATAAGTCCGATGTCGAGCCGAGAACACGCATGCGGTGTGTACTCAGCTGTACTAAGTGCCACGGCAATGTCGAGGCACTGGGAGGCGCTGGGATGGTCAAAATTGTGACAAAAAGATATACCTAAGCCAAATCTAAGCACAAGCGTTAATAAGTCAAGGTATAAACTTGATGAAACAATTCTTGAATACACACATGAAAGCTAGAGAAAGCCAATACAATAGCAAGTATCGCCTTTTTGTATCATGTCAGGCTTCACTTATCCGCATACTATAAAGCTTGGCTCCGCATGTCTTTGGGCGACGTCTCTTTGTGGGTTCGGACGCGGAGATAGTAATAGTACGGGAAGTTGTGCGTTTGCGTGTACAGGGTACCCCACGACAAAAATGTTATCTTGGACTAAGCTTGGACATACTACATCGGATTCGGGATGTTGAAAGTTGAGGTAAACAAGGACGGAAGGTGCGTGTCAGAGCGCAATTAAACAGAGAGACAAGTATGCGTGCGTGGGGCTAGCAGCGTGAGAGAGAGAGAGAGCGGGTCTGGGGAGCACACCGAAACGTGTTCTGCTATGAGTCCAAGAGAAAATTGCGAGGATGCCGGCTGGGCGCTGGGGCTTGGTGAAGAACTCCCAGGCACATTACAAGTAGTACACCCAACTTAGTCACCGCAGATATTTACGGCAGGAAACGTGAGGTTCGCTCTTGTACAGTATATGCGACTGAAACAAATGAAGAGTTGTATATAATGTACAAACGAAGTACGGGCAGGACGTCATATAAATCGTACCAAGATACATACTAGCTACGATAGCGGGAATAGTATATCATCAGAAGGCATACTAGAACCACCTCCTACACAGTGCGACCCAAAGTAATCAGTCTTTCAAGTTCAGGTGGGACTCATGGTGAGTGCTTGCGGCGAAATTTGTCCCCGTAGTGTATTTCGCGGATATGCCTGAGAATTGTGTCTCGTCTTATGGTCTTCGGGAGCAGACAGCCCCTACACCGACATTGCACCTGGCAGTCGGGGTGCTGATGCTCATGAAGATGGTACAACGATATGTGCTTCATTACGGTCGTGACCGTATCCGCAGTAAAGCTGCACTGGCCTTGGCTGTCCTTCCACAGGCATCGGGTTGGCGATTCTTGTTCATGGGGTATATCTCCCCGATGGACATGCAAGAGCGTAGCGGGGAATTTGCCAATGGCGTGCGGCATTGTGCTAGGCAATTGCGGATCAACAGAGTACAGATAGTTGGGCGAACCACTGGAACCGTAGCGCAAAGACTGCCTTGCCACACTTTGAAAACATCCGCTCCGTTAATAACACAGGATCAACATTATGTGAAAAAGATCATACCTTTGAGCATGATGCTGAGCCACAGCTTTCTCAGAACTCGACAATGAGTCCTCAACATGCGGGTCACCAGAACTCGATCCACAGTAACTAGTCTTCGACTGAGCACGATGCTGCAAAACAGCTGATGCAGTAGCATTGTTACAGGAATTCATGTGTACGGGATGCATGCAATTCTGTAGCGGCTATGTGAATGTTGGCATTACACCACCCTGCATACTAGCCTGACGTACCTCGCGAGCCGTCACTTGTGGACGTCCAGACGCTTTGACGTGTGCATATAGGTCTGAATCTAGCTTCCTGTCAAAGGTATATGCACGGGAGGAGCATATGAGGGTAGAGGAAACCCACCAAAATCGTATGGCATTCTCCAGTCTTCGGGTAACCAAATAGTTCGTGGGCATCTGATCAGCCAGCAGACTGTTTTATGTAGCCTCGGAAAAATAGACTGCACAGAAGCAGACGTGAAGGGGAACGGCCAAAGATGGCCTGGAAATGAATGACATGCTTAGCTGAAGGTAGACGAAAGGCCATGGATATGAAGGTGAATGCCCGGTTAAGTTTGAACACCGAATGCGCAATGCGGTAGCAGAAACTTTTTTCCAAGTCTGTTATTTGGCTGGAAAACCATGTCACGAAATTGTAGGAATGATGTATACTTAGCTGTTACCCCTTGGTTACCCTCAAATTCCCCCTTGAATCTTGAAGCCTTTCGTAAAGTTCAAGCATATTCGCGGTTGAGACTGGAGTTCAAGACGTGCATCACGTAAGAGCCTTTCAACGGAAATTCATCTATTCCCACGAGCGACATGGGTTACGACTTATACATGTCCGAGGACCGAGTCGCGAGGGATTTATCATCTACTCTACCAGTGGTTCAGCTCTGCCAAATCCTGTCGCATGATGTCAAGTCTGTCGCTCAGCACTACCGTTAATTCATGTATTTCTGCAACGCCGCATTGACACATTAATGCTGAGCTAATTCTAACAGGATACATGTATCGATGGTCTTTGGTGCCGGCGCTTCAGGAGCCTTCAGCGCTCAAAATGTATACATTAGTGGCAGTACGTTTTTCCTGGCTTGGACCCAAGGCATCCACATACCCTCATCCATTCCCTTCTGGGCCGTGAGATACGTTTTCATCAAGCCTGAAGATCGGCGAGCCACGGCCAAGGTATATCAGAGCACAACTTCTTTGTCTCTGACCGGAAGTTTGACTTTTATGATCCAGCCTGCCAACGCTGCGTGGGAGTGCAAGGACGTCGGCTCGCTGCATTGTTAAAGACTATTTCTCGTCGATTAAAAACTCAGACGGTCCCTATCGATAAAGTTTCGGCCTACGGTGCAATACTCCGTTGTGAAATTCGGTGCACCTTTTTTAGATCGTCTACAGGAAAATCCCAATGAGGGCTCCAAGCTTCACTCGTAAATGCAAGGGCATGAGTCTCCGAGTTACTCATGTGGTCTAATCCAGATCAAGCAACATGCCGTCGTTACGAACAATCTGCCTTCAAAAGTATCATCAATCTGACCTCAAGGGTGTCGCTACGTTGTGCAACGTGGGACTTTCTCTCTCAGATAACGCGACCTCAACGGACCTTGGGGGAGCGCAGGGCTGATTCTGCCTTCTCTTCGGCCTATGGCCTCCTTTTATTGTTTTTGTTACTCACCTTTACGTTCAGGTTTTCTAAACAGACACAGAGTCATGGCAATATTCCTGCGTGTGAGCCCCTAACGAGTGGTAATAGTATTTTTATCTTCCTTCTTTGCCCTGGACTAAGTGGTCGTACATACCACTGGATCTAGGGACTCACATAATCCTTAGCTATCGGCTTTCATGTGTGCTTCTAGCGCGATGTTGCTTATACATTTTCAGTTCTGGGGCTGATCAGCCCTATCAATATCCAATTCTATCATCCCCAACGCATTGTAACAGTATGCCGTACAATTGCCGGTACGTCTGTTCGGCATTAGACTTCTTCCTTGTGACTATTATTTGTGCAGGGAGCAGGATCTGAACTTGCAAAAAGAGCCGCGACAAGGAACCACCGATGATGTCCATTTGGTCTCCTAGTGTGGAAAGACGATAAAGTGCTGATGTCTGGATATAGGGTCATTCTGCATTGGTGAATCAGCTAGAATCATATTCGGCTGACCGCGGGAGTAATGCTCAAGGCTATCCATAATAGAAGATATAGCCTTGACCTACATAGCGACGCCTCCTTACTTTCCGTGCATCTCCGTGCGACGACCGGTGTCCCACATCCCAGTACTTCTACTGTCCCTGCCACAGTCATACAATGAGATAAGTATAGATCCGGTCAGGGTCGGGGAGCGTACTTATCATGCCATTTTTAGTTACCTTTGCCCGCCGAGCTGTTTGAAATATTGGTGGATGGGTTGCCAACTCCAAACATCATAATCATCCGCTACATCCTCGAGAAGTACGTTGGAGTTGAGTGCAGATGCAAACTCCAGGCGGTTTTCCGTGCCACACCTTGTCTTCGTCGATTCTGTAAAAGCGTACGAGTTTGCACTCTCAGCTTGTATCAAAAGGATATATTTCTTGTGACGCGATGGTGAGGCAAACTCCGCAAACACATTGTAATATTTAACGAGATAGCTTCTGCAGAAACATACTGCATTTCGTTGCCAAGTAATTCCAACACGAATTAACAAACACCGTAGAAGTAACGCCAGTACCTGGAAGCAGATGACCAAGCGAGTACCACAGTTGAT